GCAACGCTCAACATACCCCTGGACCTTGAACAACAACTCAGGGCTTGACCGCACATTCTTGAGAAGCTCAGACGCAAGCCACCTATCAAACCTTGGGATCAGGCCTGATGAACTCTGGCATTCTTTCTCCTGACCTACCTCGAAAGCCGTTGCCGCCCACTTGGAAAGGTATTCATTCGACGAGATGTCCAAGCGACCAAGCATCAGAAAAAAGTTTGTCTTCTAAGCTCTAAAGTCTGCAGCACTCTGAGGGACCACTTCCAGTTTGGTGTGCAACAAAGCTCTAGAATCAACAATCTCCCTTTCTGAGGCATGTGAGGGCGACTCTGAAATCAACTCCTCTTCATCGTCGTCCGACCCTCCACCCCCCTGATCGAATGGATCGGGCGGACCTCCGGGAAAGCCTTTGCCAACACGAAGTCCACGAGAAGGTCCTACAGGAGGTGAGGATGAATGGACAACTGTGTCATGCGAACGATCGAACAAAGGTCGAGGCTCACGATTAGGATCCGTGCTATTTCGGCTTGATTCAAGTGTCAACATTCTGGAACTGAGTGACTGAACAGCTTCCATAATCGACTCCAACATTCTATTGCCTCCTTCAGTGTCCTTGGGCGAAGATGCATCAGGCACAGTCTTCGGAACGAAAGCAGGCGCAGGCGACTGGATGACCGCGGCGCTTGAAGCAGCCAGTCGGGCCTCCAGCGACGAGATGCGATCTTGTCGAGACGAAGACTCTTGGCAAAGACGCTGGATTTCTGAATCTTTATGGCCTAAAAGGTTGAGGGACTTTTGGTTGATGTCGGACAAACGGTCGATCTCATCTTTCGCTTTGCGAAGTTGACCCTCGAACATGGACTGATTGAATTTGATCTGGTTCTCAAGGGTTTGCTTTACCTCTTGGACCGCTTCATGCAAGCTGGTAATCATGACATCCTTCTCGGTGTGACCTGTTTGGAGCATTTCATTCTGATTACGGAGTTCTTCGACCAGGGATGTCAGGTGACCAATGTGAGCTGTGGCTTCCTGGAAGACTTGTTGAGCGACACCTTCGAAGTGCGAAGCTCTAGAGTCCGCTTCCCCGATCAGTCGTTGAGACTCAGCTACAACACGACCGAACTCTGCATGATCGATACCAACATATGCCACCTGGACCGTGTTAAAAGACCGGGCGTCATGAAGGTGCAATTCTTGTGTCAAGCTAGTTTGATTAGGCATGACTTCATCTTCCTCTCCGGTACCCTGAAACTCGGATGGACCAACCGACCGCTGGAGCAACCCACTGGACGAAGGCAAAGACCGAAGGTCAGTGAGCGCAGGAATGGATGGTTCAACCACTGATGACCCCTCTGCTTGAACCTGGGATTGATTACCTTTGGGCATGTTTTTGATGACTCTGCTCAAAGATCTCTTTGGAGGTTTTGATCTCCTTCCCTCATGAGGTGTTCCGGAACCATGGGATGATTGGGACCTGCTCCGAACAGCAACTGCCAAACCACCAACAGTAGTATCTGAACTGACATTCAACGATGAAGATTGCTCTTCTGACATGATTTACTGGCCAACTATCCAAACTCTCCCAAACCCTTCTTTCTTTTCGGCGGGAACGAATGCACAATTGGCACAGGCTCTTTCCGGAACTGGCCTAACGAACGAAGCTCCGCGGCGCTCAAAGCAGCCGGACCGGAGCAGCTTCGATGCAACTTCACTCTTCCTCGTCAACTGGATTCGAATGGTGATGCACGAAAATCACCAAACGATCCACCAACCAAGGTGCTGAAAAACTCCAAGACCTTGGCTCTTCGTCAAAAATCGCTCCGACCCGAGGCTTGCGAATCTGAATAGCGATGAGACTCGCCGCACTGAACTCACGCAGCACCTCAACGTTGTCGTCCAAAATCACAGCCTGACCACGAGTCAACGATCTCAGCACCTCAAACTTTCCGCTTGGGCCCGTCCTTTCACGAGTGATGATCACACAATCAACCGACAATGAACTCTGTTGTACTGCAGTGATTAAGTTCCTCTCGTTCACCACACTGTCGTGAATGTGCGACAAAACAATGATCTTCACTCGACAACGCAAGCCGACCTCTTCAATCTCCCTTCGCAAGCGACGAACTGCTGCAATGTGGCCCGCAGGCAGATTACCAATATGATCCACACGATCCGGAGGATTGACACTCCGATCAACGTCAAGGACCTGATGGTAGTCCAATGCAATCACCGGATCAGAGCCCCAGTGATTCGGCCTTTCTGCAGCCAGCCTCAACGTATCACCGTTCGCCCACACGTAAAACTTGGCTGAAGACGGAAAAATCAAGGCCTCCCTGTAAACAATGTCAACTCGCGACCACGGGTGAAGAACGACTCCAGGCGCCGCGTGGTAGTACTTGAGGATGTCGTAAGGCCGATTTCCGGCAGGCGTATCAACAACACTCGAATCCGCTCGACTCGGAACAGGCCTTGGGGCCGCAGCCAAACTTGACGAGCCAGGCGAATGATCGAAGACGTACGGATTGTAGAGCCTTGAACGCGGCACAAGATGCTCAGCCTGCAACGAAGTCAAATCAACTGCCGCTGTAAATGCAACAAACTCAACTTCGTCAGTCTCCTCACCCGAATCCTCGCTTGCACTCGGCTCCCAAAACCTAGAAGTTCCAAGTGGCCTTCTCTGACCGCCAGCGTGAACAATCGGAACCGTCGCTCGATCACCTCCCGAATTGACAATATACGCCTCTCTGCGTCGCCGTGCGGCAGCTCCTCCCCGGATGCCGCGCCTCGGAGAATCAGGAGGCGTCGGTGGCAATAGCCTCCTTGGCGGTGGTCCTGGGGGTTCAGGAGGCCGCAACGTCCGATGGATTGGCGAACGGGACGGCTCTCGAGGACGCCGACCTGACATGCACGGGTTTTCTGTGGAGCCCGCAACCACACTAATAAAAGATGTTGTTGTGTTGTAACAGAAACCGAAAAACAATCAAAAGCCCGCAACCACATTAATAAAAGATGTTGTTGTGTTGTAACAGAAACCGAAAAACAATCAAAAGCCGATACGGCTAATAACCACTT